GGCAGGCAGGCAGACAGGCAGCTGGAGAAACCCCCTCCGGGGTGTTTGGGGCCTTCCTGGTCTGTTGTCGCGCAGGCCGGGAGCTCCCGCACATGCCGCCGGGTGGTCGTAGGCAGGCAGGCAGACAGGCAGCTCATGAGTCCATATTTGAAACATCTAGTCTTTCTAGATGTTTAGAAGTTCACAAAGTATGTTAAAAGTGGAAATAGTAAAGAACACATTTTGTACATAGCATTTGGTTAAAATTAATACTGTCTTTAGGAAATGAAATTATCAAATGATTGATCTGAGCAGTAGAAATATTTGTGCTAGTTCACAGAGAGAGGAGGAAAAAAAATGTACAAAGGGCTCTAAATCAGTGTGGTTTAGGTGAAGCGAGATTGACCACTGGCCCTTATGTCTGTGCGTTTTGTTTTACTTTCCTGTATATATAGTTGTATATGAAGGACAAAGGAGTCCTAATTTACATCTAGTCTTTCTAGAAGTTAAAGAGGTAGCTAGTTTTTTATAAAAGTAGACTTAGTATACCTTGTGTTAAAATTCATTAGAAAGAGTGTTCTTAAGTGAAATTATTAAAGCCCCCTCTAAGTATTACATATCCATATATCTGTTCCCTGGGTTAACAAAGATGGAAAGGGGAAAGGGCTGTAAATGAGTGTTCCTATTTAGATGATACTTTAAATTTTAGTCTTTGTTACGTATATGTGTACAATTTACTCACTGCCACTATACATATGAAATATTATAAATTCTTACTGGAAGTATCTAGTCTTTCTAGATGTTTAAAGTTCTCACATGTAAAGGTCAAGGGCTACTATAATGGACTATTAAGTATTTTTTGTTACTTCAGAGGAATAGCTGTATTTTGAGAATGAAACTGTCAAACTTGATGTCTTGGAGAGTATGCTGGCTATTCATGGGATGCAGGAGAGGAAGTATGAAGAGAGGGAGGTTAAATTAGTTCCAGTTGTCTTGCCATTGTTCTATATGTACATTTTAGTTAATATTGCTGGGTGTTAAAGGATAAATCTTACTGCCCAAATTAAGTTAGACTGTCTTCTGGAAGTGACCTTCAGTAAAGCCACCTCTTGGAAGTAGATGTGGTCCTGAACTTATGTCACTGAAATGAAGAGTGAAAAGAAGGTGGGTGAGGGTGGTAAGGGCTCTTTACTAGATCCCCATATCTGGAAGATGATTTTAGACTATAACCATAGGCCTGAGGGTGCATTTTTGGAAAAGTACTTGGGCATATTGTGCACAAAGTTCATACTCTATTGCTCAGCATCTAAGCTTTATAGATGTCAGGAGGTGACAGTGTACCATAAAAACTAGAGGTAGTGAGTTAGACAGCATGTAAGTAATTATAATTAATAGAAAAGATGCATCTTGGATTTGGAAATGTTACAACACCTCTGGGAAGTGTGCATCAGGATTTGTCATTAGGCTGGCAGCAGAGGGGTAGGAATAAGCACACAGGAGACAGAGAGATGTGAACAAAGTGTTCAGATTTACATTTTAGTAAGAGAAGTCAGTGTGTCTTCTAGCTATACTGTTGAAATCATTAATAATTCAGTGGGAATGTGCCTTGTTGCTAATATCTTTTTTTTTTTTTTTTTTTTTTTTTTTTTCCATTTTTTTTTTTTTTTTTTTTTTTTTTTTTTTTGTACCAGGGATTGATTTTGGGTCCTTGCACTTGAGAGGCAGGCTGCAGCACCACTGAGCTTAATCCCCAGCCCACTATTGTCTTAATAGTAGAGATCTGATCACTCTTAGACACAAAGCTTGGTATACTCTGGTGCTATGTGTCTCATTTTAAATTGAGCATTAAGGAAATGCAGTATTGTAATTATAACTTTGCCAATACTTCTACCTAGAGGCCTGTTGCCATTTTTATCTTCAGTGAAATTTTTGTTCCCAAGAAAGGCAGGATTACAACTTTTCTAACAGATTGAGTTGGTGTAGTGTATTCTTAGTTATCAAAAATACTCTTGTAGATTTGCAATTTAAAATTGGTTAATATTTATAATGTGTAGAAAAGCATGACACACAGTGTACAAACTCAAGTCACACAAAGTGGCGTGTTGTATATGTACACAAGGACCTAGAAGAACACATCCAGCTCAGCTGCTTATCATTGCACATCACTGTTCTTTGCTTCTTGTGTTTTTGTTTCCTGTAATACACATATTAACTTTTTTTATTATTTTTGAAACAAAAAAGAGAAAATATAAGCCACAAATTGGTAAAAAATATTTGTAACACTTAGAAAGCCCAGAATGGTGCACTCCTGTAAATCCAGCTACTCAGGAGATTGAGGCAGGAAGATCATGAGTTTGAGATGAGCCTAAACAACTTACTGAGGCCCTGTCTCAAATAAAGGAAGCTGATGATGTAGCTTAGTGCTACAGAACTTGTCTGCTATGTTCAAGGCCTCTCAATTCAGTCCCCAGAACTACAAAACATACACACACACACACACACACACACACACACACACACACACACCCTGAATAAAAGACTTGTTCAAAATATGTGAAGAACTCATAAATCAATAAGAGAAAAAGACAACCCCGTATAAAAATGAGGGAATAAAGTTTTGAACAGAAACTTAATAACAAAGGAAATATAGGGCCACAGATGTGGTTGAGTGGCACCCTGCCTGCTTGGCAAGCGTAAGGTCCTGAGTTCAATTCCCATCACCACAAAGCGGGGAGGGTAATATAAATGATATTGCATTGATAGTTGTTTCATTTGTAGTAAACTATAAATTAAAACAGTGAGGTCTAGTGACATATTAAACTTCAGCTAAAAGATTAAAAGCCTGTGAAAGAGTGAAATGATGCAATCTAATTAGGAAATATTTTGCCTCTACCACCACCACCTAAGTTAAACATGAGCATATCTAACAACCTAACAATTTCATTTATATCACTTATAGATATATATAACCTAGAAAAAACTCTGCATAAGTCCATCAGGAGATATGTATAAGCATCTAGAGGTCACTGTTTATAAAAAGTCAACACTTAAAAATAATCAAACAGTATCTTCATGTAATGGAATATTATTCCACTACAGCTACACACATCATTATGGATGAGTCTAAAAATATATAACTTGATAATTGATAGTGTAAAGTAGAAAGAAAATGGCTAAAGGGAAGTGGGAAGGGGAGGGGAAAAGAAAAATGTTAAAAAAGGAAAAAATGGAAACAAAGTCTTTGTAAATAGGGAAGGGTAAAGGGGGTGAAGGGAGGGCAGGAGTATGAGGAAAAAATAAGAACAAAGACATATCATGTAAAAGGTACAAGATCCCAGTGATAAATGTAACTATTGTTTGCTTTAAATGTACCAATAAACTTAATGGGAAAAAATAAAAATATATAATTTGACCAAAAAAAAAATACAGGAGAATATAGTACAATTCCATTTATATGAAGTCCAAAAATAGGTAAAAATCAACTATTATTTGGGGAATAATACACGTGTTAAAGTGACAAAGAAATGCAGTCAGTAATAGTAGTTAACTGAGGGGAATGCAATCTTCAGGGCAGTATGGAGACAAAGAGCTCCAGGAAGCTTCTAAAGTAGTGACAGTGCTGAAATTTTTAATCTACATTGTTGCACAGACATTGCCCTTTAATTATCATCATTATGATAATCATTATTATTATTAAACTATTCCTAAATGGTTTGGTAGACTCTTTGTATTGCTAGTTTCAAAATCAAAATTAAATTTAAAATTATATATTTTTAAAAGGCTGAAAACTACAATCACAAAAACAATACAGAAGTGAGGTATAATTTTAAGATTTAAAATATTGCAGAAAAAGGCCGAGGATGTACCTCAGTGGCACTGCACCTGCCTGTCAAGTATAACATCCTGAGTTCATTTCCAGTACTGGGAAAAAAATTTTAATGATAAAAATAAAATAACGCAGATAATAAACTCTAATTGATGCTATAGAAGAATTATTTCTATTATGTGTGTG